TTGGTTGCAAATAGTATGACAACTCGGTTGCTAGATACAACTTCTGTAAATCTGATTTACAGACAGCATCATTAATCCACACATTGGATTTTAAAAAACTCACCACCATTCAATTCAGCTTTAAAAATGGAGTCTATTAATCTAAAAAAAAAATTTTCTTTTTCATAGATTTTTTAAATTTGAAAGTTATGCTCAGAAGAACATAGCGGGCTTTCTCTGTGATTGGTTGATAATTTATAATATGCTGATCATTTTTATTTATTATATACTTCCAAGACAATAAATAATATAAAAAATAGATAGATAGATTCTTAACAATAATTTTATTTGTAATTGGTAATAAATAATTCAGCAAAAACATTAATGTGGGAACTTTTGCTATAATAATAATTGCAATGAAAAAAATATATAATAAAGTACACATATGGTACAAATATCCCATATCAAAATGACTAATTTGAGAGAAACAGCATATCCCACCCATCACATAAAATAATATGTTGAATGAAATTTGATGTTTGATATAATTGATAAATGTATCATTTACTCCAGGGTTGGGATTCGTACTTGTACATGTACACGTATCGTACAAGTACGTACGTACGAGCTTAAAATTTTTTAGTACATTGTACGAACATATCATGTGATTTATGACAATTTTTATTGGTTGATAAATGTAATACACATTATATATATATATATATATATATATATATATCGTCAAAAAAAAAAATTTATAAATTGAAAATTAAAAAGGACAATGTATATCGTTTTTTAATATAACTTCCAATTTCCATTTCCCATCGGAGCTTGTTGCTGGATGATCAATACTTTGAACATCTAAGTTATAAAATTCATCATCTTCAATGTTTATAAGCTCATTTAGAGATTCATTTTCTTCTTCTTGAAGAATTTCTATCTACTCACCCAAATTATTATTAAACTGTGCAATTACATCTGCTTCTAAACTATTATTATCCTGTTCATCATTTTGTTCACCCAAATAACTTTCTTCATTTAAGTTAGTATTTACATTTGAAGATTCGGCTTCCAATATCATTTCTCTTTCAATGCTATTCTGTTCTTCTAAATTTATTTCTTTATTTGATAAAGAAAGTTCTTGTTGAAGAAGTCGATTATATGTAATGCCAGCCTTCAATTTTGCCATTTCTAAGACTCTAGTGAACTACATATAGTAAAAGAAATAGTCAAATTTTAAAAAGAAAATAATTTACTATATTAATGTAAATAAAACTATATTTTTACCTCCAATCTATTTTGATTTTTTGAATGAAAAAATCCCATACTACTCCACAGTCATTCTACTGAAGCTGCATTAATACAAATACCAAAAATACGTGCTGCAACAATTCCAATTTCTGGATAGGCATCCTGAACCCTGCACCAATATTTGTGAATATTATTTTCAAACTGATCAATGGAGGCATTATCAAAAGGATATTTTCTTCCTTGTGAAAAATCATAAAATTCATTAAGAATAGTTTTAGGTTCTTTTCCAGTCCATGCTTTATAATAATAAACAAGCCACTTCCCCATGTGTAAATAACTTATTTTTGATATAGAAGCAGAAGTGAAATAGTTTGATTTGTAAACAGGATGAAGAAGCCAAGAAAGAATGAGAAGAGGTTGTTCCCATAAACTCCATCTATTTTCCAATCTTGATAATATTCTACTGGCCAAGAGTTCATCAGAATAACTTTTCCAAAATTGATACAAATATGCATAACAATGTAAAACTTCATATAATCTTGCCTTGTCACTTTGTAGTTTATTCAAAATATTGCAATAAGGAATCAAAATTTGATCCAATTTTAAAAGTTCGTCCCAAAAAGATTCATTCATTATAATACAATACATTTCATGTGAAATTTTCAATGTATTCGTTGATGAAGAAGGATCAAATTTTATTGCCAAAGACTATGTAAAAAATAATTGTCAATTATTTTATTTGAATCAAAACTACTATTTTGAAAGATTGTAAAAATAAATAGAATAACTTACACGTAAAGCATTTTTAGTAGCAATTAAACTTTTAAAGCAATTATGTTGACTGTTCCACCTGGTATTACATGGAAGTGCAAGTTGAATATATTTGCTATAAAGTTCTTTTTGAATATCACGAAGTTGGCCAATGAAATATTTATGTCTAGCATCTTTAAAATAGGCTGACACTTTTAAGGCATTGCCTGATGTATTTTTGAACTCAGATGAAATTTTAAAAATTTCCCCTACACACAAATTCACCTGATGGGCAAAACATGGTAAAAAAACAATATTTCTATGTTTAAGTCGTAATCTTGCCCTAATAATTAAAGATTTATATTATAAATCAATAAAATATTCAATGATAGTTTGAGGCAATGAGAAAAAATTAATATGCACTTGCCTTGATGCATTATAGGAAGGTGCACTATCAGTTACTATTGATAACAATGTTATTTTCATATCTATTAATTTGGAAATTAATTCTTCAGTTTTAGTCATAACTTCAAACATTGTATCATGTTCACTACTGATATCCATAGCTTGCCATACACATGGTTCTCCATCTGACATCAAAAGAACACATCCCATTAATTCTTGTTGCCTAACATTCGTCCATCCATCAAACATAAGTGTGACACCTATTTGATCTAATCTTAATTTTTCTAACATGACATTATCATATTCTTTAACTGCATCATTCAATAGTTTAGTGGAAAGGGTTTTTCTATCTGGTAGTTTGATATGTGGGTTGAGAAATTTAAATAATTCTGTTGTTTCTTGATTATTCACCCAAGATAATGGAAAACCACAAGAAATAGTGGCTTTTAATATAAGTTTATGAAAAACTTCATTATCTGCTTTAGATAAAGGTCTGGCAACAAAATTATCTAAAGGACCATAATTAGATGATTGAGACGAAGTAGAATTTGATCCTAATAGAAAAGAAATTAATTCATGTAATAATAAATAAATTGTTAATTAATAAATTATTAATTAAATAAATTATTAATTAGATAAAATAAATTATTAATTAATTAAATTATTAATTAAATAAATTAATTTACTTTTTCTTTTTATTGTATTGTTATTATTATTATCATTATTATTACTATTACCAAGAGCTAGTATTTTAAGTTTTTCTTCTTGGCTATACACAACATGAAAATTTTGACAATCATTAAAATGTTGAATTATACGTTCAGTTTTATCTACTATTGTTTTTAATTCATTGCTGTTTTCACCAAGTTTAATAAAGCAAGCTTTGCAGTAACATAATTTGTTACTAGAACCACTTTTTTGTTTTGTTTCAACAATGTAATTTTTCAAAGCTTTAACCATTGGAATAAAAGAATTGTGGAATTAATGACTGTATACACTTGAAAGATATGGTTATGTTTTCAACAATTGATAACAATTAACAAATGTGTAATTTTTTTATTATTCATTATATACTCTTAAAAAAAAATATATAAAAATCATGGAATATACTTATACTATTACTATAATAATAATAATAACGTACCACAGAATACAACAATCAGTTTGATAATCAAGTGTTACAACATCTGGTAATAGTAATCCGTTAATTGTAATGATATTGTTATAAGATTTTACGGTGTAATATTTTATCACTGCAGAAAATAATCGTTACTGATAAATCGTACATTCGTACATTCGTACATTCGTACGTACGTACATATGTAAAATTTCCTCGTACAGGTGTACGACCACAACGAAACTGTACAAACTCAATGGTACGAAGTCAGTCGTACGTATGTATGTACGTACGTACGTATGAAGATTCTTCTCGTACAGCGAAATTTCACAACCCTGATTATCAATATTCCTGAAAAAAGGTCTTCTTGGTCTGAAAAAATAAAAGAATATTTCAATTCAAACAATAAAGCTTATTGAAACATCAGATGATGAATTGAATAATAGTAATGAAATTGGAACACATTATCGAAAAAATATCAATAAAGATTAATCATTTTTTATAGAAATAGAGGTGTAATGTCAAATTTTTCAAAAAGTACAAATTCTGCATACTGAATTTTATATGCACACACTACTGCTTTCAGGTTAGATAAAATCAAAAAAATTAAAACACCAATGAGCATAAAAAATAGGGTGTCCAGTGTTATGCTTTTTTCTCCAAATTATGCTTTTATGTGATCATAATTTTAGGGCAAATTTGAGAATAATTCTGGCCAAAATTAACATTATCAGAAAAATTACAATACATAAAATTTAATTTTTTTAATTGAGTCTTCTTTTAAAGCCAGGTATTTATCACATGAGATACATTTATAATTTGAAAAATACCTTTCCACATCAACATCAGATATAGGCAACCAAATATATTTTAATGCAATTGAACTTAGTGTTGGTAATATATTTGATTTTGATTCCAATAACTGTCTAAATCAAAATTTTCATAGATTCCCCATTCATATATAAGATCATTTGTATAGTCATTGATGATAAAATATGAGAACAGTGATGATTGGAATTTGATTGGGTCAAAACACCTGATTGCTTTAAACAAGGGAACTGCTGGATGATTCTCAACATGCTTTTTAAATTTTTCTAATGATAATTTAAATGCTTATCAACATGGATCTTTTTTTATGATTTATAGATGGCTACAAAAACAATAAAATAATTTTCCTCCATCAACACAATGGCTTTTTTTTCTCAGATGTTCTGATTGCAGTAAGCACCATTTTGTCATTAATATAGATATATGGGGTTCTCTAGCAAAAACTGGTTCCAAGGTCTGGCCAAATTTAAGTTTTTAACATAACATTAACCTATAACATATAGACTATAATTGTGAAAATATTAGACCCTGTTTGCTTAATAAAAAATGGGAAATTGTGGCCAGATACCTTCTTTAGAATAATTTGCACAAATATAAAAACAGAACTACATACCCTATTTTTGTTACACACAATAAAAAATTACTTTGCATATTAAAAATAATACATTAAATTATTAATTGGCTAGGTTTTGGGCAAAGAATATCTAAGGTTTGATAATTTTTGTGAAGTCAAATCACCTATAATCTCACTATCAAGCAAATTTCAGGTGATTCAATATCTTCTTTGAATTGTTAGGATTGAACTAAAGACATAATGGAAATTATAAATGGTATTTTTTTAATAAAATAATATTTAATTCAGATGTTTAAAATTACGCTTGAATAAAACCTATTTTTATGAAAAATTCAGCCATTTTATTTTTAAAAAAACAGTCATATCTCCATATAAGGACCCTCCATATGAGATGTCCACCAGCAATATGGGGGTCTGAGAACTCCTGGCCAAAATTGAGTTTTTTGCATAATGTATATCTATATCATAAGGATTATAGTTGGTGAAAAATTTAGAACATGTTTACCTAGTACAATAATGAGATACAAGATTTGAAATATTTACTTTACATATCAAAACTATTCGTGTAACCAATTTTGTTTTGATAATAACACAGAACAATTTAATAGTCTCAGACCCCCTTTTTGCTGGTGGACATCCCATATAAGAACACCTCTTGCTAAGTACACATTTTGCTGTAACAGACTGATTTTGATAATGATTTTCCATCTATACAAGAACCTTCTGTATAATAACTAGAACATCTTTTCAGTGATATTTCTAATATAATTTACCTCTATATAAGAACATTATTGTGTAACATTATCATATGAATTAAAAGAAATTAAAATGTCTAAAAAAGAAATATGTACTTATGCTCAAAATCATATTAATTCTAAGCAACAAAATATTGCTGACTTTTTTAATAACAAGTATCCATGTCTTGGCATTGGTTGCTCAAAAATTGTTAAATATTAAAAAAAGTAGTAAATGATACTAATTCTATTTCTAAAGTAAATTTTGAAATAAAAATCCTAAATTTCCATTGCCTGATCAAGCTTTAAATTGTTGGGTAGAACAAATATCAGCATCAGCTGTTGTATTGAATGAACAGCTTATTAAAGAGAAGAAGAAGATTTCCATTTTTCAAATGGATGGATCCAAAAGTTTAAGAAAAGAAATCAATTGGTCTCTTATAAATTTCATGGTGAAAGAGCAAGTACTCCCATTGAAAAGAACGAAGAAACTACAAGAGGTGATTTCAAAATTTGATCCTGTAAATTATACATGCTGAATTAAAAGGCATGTGATGCGATTGGTGACATGCATGATGCAAATAAGTGATGCATTGACACAAGATGCAATAATAATTCATATAATTGGTGACTCAATTTATCAAGGACTTGCTCAAAATTTGCGCATACATATAGACAGCCAAATTCTTGTACATTCATTATACCAAAATTACTGATCACAAAGCAAAAATTTAATAACTCATTTAGATTTGTGTGATCAGATTATTACAATCAGAATGCAAAGCAAAGCAACTGGTTAAATGGTTGAAAATGATAAGGCTTGTGAGAATTGCAAAGAGAAGTTTGAAAATGATGAGTTGCCTAAATGTAGTTGTGGAAAGCTAAAGACTAGATACACTTGTGGTTGTAAAGAAGAGGAAAATGAAAAAGAACTTACTCTTTTGCCTCACCAAAATGGAGGAATGGCACTTTTTTATGAAACACAAATAAATGGTTTGAGGGAAGAAAAAAATCAACTAACTGAGGAAGTGGCTGAGGATTGGCATAAAAGACAAAAACAAGGATTATTGGATAGGATTAAGCGCTTAGAAGAGAAAATAAGCAACTAAAAGAGTTAACTCCCCAAGAATTATTTTATTGTAAACCTTTTTTATTCATTCATATAGAATAAATGTTGTAATAAAATAAGAAATTTTTTTTATTTATATTTTTTATTTTTATTCTATATATATAAAAGAATGAGATTTTATATGTATATAAAAAAATCACTCTGGTGTACACAAACCTACCCGGATTAACCAAGATTGTTCCTTAATTATAAAAAATGAAAAACCCTTTATTTTGACATTTTTTGCCAGGTAAACAAATAAGACTTGAAGAAAATCTTAATGTGAAGTTGGTCCACTAGCTCCATAAGTTCTATAATATAAGAAATTGATAATTCAATCTTTCGACTTAATTTTTTTTTACATAATAATAATTAATGCAATAGTAAGTTCAAATTCCAAGCTTTAAATATTTATTTTAGAATTTGTTTATAGAAAAGTATTAATTTTTTTTTATAATGAAACATTTTACCTAAATTTATATAATAATATATATATCACTGGATGAATTAGAAAGTTACATCAAGCAAATTTATTAACTTGGTGATATTTATTTAATATTTTAAACAAAAATGAATTCATATAATGGACTTCTTTCAAGGATGGCTATTAACAAAATGTCAGTTAATTTAAAGAAAGATTTGTTGATTTTTGATTAGTTTCATTAACAGTTTAATTATACACACACACACACACACACACACACATATATATATACTATACATGCAGCCCAAAGTATTTTGACACTGTCATAAAGGGGGTTACACATGTAGTAAAGGGGTGTTACACTTATGTTTTTAATAGTGAATGCCGTAATTAATTTCTACTTTCTACCATCAAAATTGGAATAATTTTGACCATCAAAATCACCAAACCAATTTGGGCTGCATGTATAATATATACGTAATATATCACTTTGGAAGCTTCATATGTAGATCTTGCTTTTAACACTTCAATCAACTGCTATATAACTATGAATAATTGATAAAACATTCATCAAGTATAACGATTTAGAAGGACTTTTATTTACATATTTAATAATAAGTACAGATTATACTTGTAAAAACCAAGGTTTGTTTGTTATATTCACTCTCATTAATTCCGATGTATATAAGATCTAGATGATTGTGTAACAATTTTATATATTAATAATAAGCACAGATTATTACTTGTAAAAACAAGGCTTGTTTGTTCTATTCACTCTCATTAATTCCAATGTATATAAGATCTAGGTGATCGTGTAACAATTTTATATATTAATAATAATAAGCACAGATTATACTTGTAAAAACCAAGATTTGTTTTTTATATTCATTCTCATTAATTCCGATGTATATAAGATCTAGATGATTGCGTAACAATATATTAATAAATAATATTAATAATAAGGATAGATTATTCTTGTAAAAACTAAGGTTTGTTTGTTATATTCACTCTCATTAATTCCGATGTATATAAGATCTAGATGATCGCGTAACAATATACACTCACTGGACAAAAATATATGAACTTTTGTCAATCATCAAAAATAATCAAGTGACTTTGACATAATAAAACT